GTTTACAAGCTGTAAGCAGCTCATGTTGAGGAGCTGCAGTCTTCCAAGTTGGTGGATAGGCAGAGATAATTGCTTTTCGTACACCTATACGGAAGCAGTCAAAAGCTCAACCGCGAGAGCCAAGCCAGAGGTCTGGAGCCTACTCCGTAGAGCTGAAGCATATCGTGAGTTAGGGTTCTCCGGAATAGTACGACTGAGGATGGCGGTACATCCATCAGAGATAATTCCTTACACTTAATGAATAACCAATTTAAATTTTCAATTGGTAGAGAAACAATTAATCAGCACATGAAAAGCAGGGGTAGGGAGTTGCTAAGCCTTTGCTCTGAATAGTGACCATGCCGATTGTGCCCAGGTGGTGACGTCGCGACAGGGCTCGGGCTTTGAATTACCCCATTAAAGACGGCTGGTATGATGTATAATGCGCCTTCGAACTGTAAGAAAACCTGGAAAGGGGAAGAATGGTCTGTCGTTCTAGCTAGTTAGATAGTCCTGGGTATATCAGCATTTTAGATAACTTTCTTCGTTTTCTATTACAGTCTCTCAATCAACATGAAAGCTCTCGTGGCAAGTTGATCTCTCCCAAGGCAAGTACTGAATTTTGCTTCTGGCTCTTCATTCGGCCAATGTGCACAAGTCACGGACCAAACAATTCCCAAGTCACCGACGATGAGATACTGGTTCGAGTGCGTTCTATTGCCCTCAACCGAACTGACTTCAAACGTATCGACTTTCTTGCTCCAAATAAAAGTGTGATCGGCTGCGGTTATGCCGGGGAGGTAGTTGAGGTTGGAAAGACCACGACGGGCCGTTGGAAAGTCGGGGTCTTCGATTGACACTGGGATACTTTCTAGTTCAAGTCCCTGTAAGTGTGACCATGGGCCATCTATTGATGCAAGATAATGGATAAGCTCTGTGTAATCACTCAGACCATGGTTCTTGAGATGCAGCAGGTGAAAATTGGGGGCGTGAAGGAGTATTTTGAATGTCCAATCACGGACAATGTCATACTCAAGTGCATACATCAGCTTTAAGTCTTTAAGGTGCTGCCCGACTGCAATAAATTGCTCCTTGTCTGAAGCCTGCAATCGCTGGAGCATAGTTAGATTGATCCATGAAATTGACTATAAGTGCAGTGACAGGATTATGGGTCCTTGCAACAATGTCCAGGAGTGTGATGATTGAGTCTGTTGGTCTGAAATTGTCATCGTCTGACTGACCTCTGACCTTGGTAATAACAGCATAGATCTCGAATGACTTGCAGTCGACCAGCTGGCAGAGAATGCTGCGTAGTCGTTTCACAGCGGGATGTTCCTGGAGATTGACAAGATGGCCAGACTGATGGCGATGCGAACCCCACTTATATCCTTCTCCAAGATTTTCAAGACACTCATCAAAACCTGTAAGAACGATGTGATTCACATAACATCCTAGTTGAGCATCCCTTGAGATTGTCTCTAGTTCTCACAGATTGGCAGAGGACAGATCAGTCTTGATGCTTTGCAAGGAGACGCTCCAAAACATAGAGGATGCTTTTCCATAAATGGCTTTACATGTCATTCGTAAAGCCCAAATCGGATGGCTGCAACGAGGAGGCCACTGGTTCGACTAGTTCTAGTGGCAGGTCAAATAACGGAGTGTGGGGACTGGGCGATTCTTTTCGGCGATGAAGACCCAGAGAGTTGAACTTGTGGAGAAAATGTTGCTGATGTTATTTAAGCCCTTACTTCCTCTCTTTTGTCTTTTGAGGTGGTTGATGGAGTGACGATGTTGAGAGAGTGAACAGCCCGGGTTGAGTAATTTCTTTGGACTGCCGATTCCCAAGGCTGAGCGAGGTGAATTTCCCGAGGTGATAACTAACTTACTAGCTAGCGCCTGGTACCCAGGTGTAGTGTCATTATGCCGGTTTCGGGCTTCGTATATCAACCTTGGAAGTCCACATTAAAGAATCAACTCCGCTCTCCGGTCTCCGCAGTCACCTGTGTCTCATCTTCTTCCAGCTGGATTTATGCACGACCTCTGATTGGCCGTTTATAATCCCCCCACTACACTAAACCCCATCAACAAGTAAGCATTACGGGTACAATCCCCTCAAGGTCCCCCGGAGCGCCCGCTATAAATGAGCCATATCCTTAACTAAATAGTTTTAGATTTATTCATTCGTGCTCTCCACCATGTCCCTTTTGTCATTAATTACTCTACGAATTGCCGCCCTTTTCCTAAGAGTATGGGCGAGGTGCCAGGGGCGCATTATCTCTCATCCAGACGAGATAATCTTCATTCAGTCTAGGGACCATGAACGTTCCATTAAGGTTCATGTCTACCAACCCCCGTTACCAAGACATTACAAATTCCCTCTCCTGTGCCCCTCAACTTTCATGGAAGTGGATTCGTAATTCCTGCCCATGGCAGCGACGATGAATTCTGTCGACAAATGAGCCAACAGACAGGATATACCGTCCTCGACGTGCAATATCGTCTTGCTCCCGAGAACCCCGTCCCAGCAGCATTAAATGATACCGAAGATGCCATCAAATGGGTCTTAGGACGACCGACAAAATTTGATACCTCGAAAGTCGCTATCTCCGGCTTTAGTGCAGGTGGAAATCTTGCATTGGCTGTTTCCTCCTGCATTTTTCCTCCGGAAAGTTTCTCTTCTGTTCTAGCCTTTTGTCCGACAGTCGAAGCTTTTGTTGATCCCGGGGCCGTAGCTGCGCCTGATCCAAATGGTCGGCCTTTCCTGACATTTATCCTGCGGCTTTTTGCTAGTTGCTATATGCTACACGGGCATGATCCCAAAGACCCCCGCATCTTGCCTGCTTATGCCGAACTTGACCGTTTCCCTCGCCAGGTTTTGATCGTGACGGTTGCCTATGACAGTCTAGCAGTGGAGGCGGAAAATTTAGCAGGTCGGCTGCGGGAAAGCTCTGGTCGTATCGTTGTTTCCGAGCGGATGGAAAAGTGCAACCATGCTTGGGATAAGATGGCTAAGAAGGGATGCTTGGATGGGAAGCAAAAGAACGGGCTTACAAGCTAGCCGTGGACATGTTGAAGTGTACTTAAGTCGTCCACGGGTGGCTCGCTAGCCTATTATATATATGATGACATAAAGTCTAGAAGTCGAAGATATATTGAACACCATTGCCAGTTACTGACACAAGTCTGGGAGATCGTGGGAGGTATCGTCGTCTGCATAGGGAGCAAAAACAAATAGAGTAGCAACGCCCAGCCGACAGGCAAAGTTATAATAGGATAGGATATTCAGTTTTATGATCTTGTATTAGGTGACTTGGAAGGCTTAGACTGTTGTTGTACTCTCAAAATCCTGTACCTTTCAAGGTCGTATCCACTTTTCCGAAATGAGTTGGATTGTTCCATACAGGCTCCTAAAATCTCAATTAAAGCCCCCATTACATATGTAATTAATAAATGCTTCATTCGACTTAAGCCTTAGGCTTATACAGTTAAGCGGCATGATGTTTTCCAACTGACAACATGATACATACGACCATAGGGTGTGGAAAACAGGGCTTCCCGTCCGCTCAGCCGTACTTAAGCCACACGCCGGTGAGTTAGTAGTTGGGTGGGTGACCACCAGCGAATCCTCACTGTTGTATG